CAGCAGTAAGTCTCAGAAGTAAAACATATTTCTTTAAACATAGAACTGCCATTTGACGGACCAGGACTCCCACTCTTAGGTATACACCCCAGTGAAAACCTCTAGCCACAGAGAAACATGAACACAAATGTTGATTGCAGCATTAGTCATAATAGCCAAAGTGGGGAAAAAAAACACCAAATATCCATCAACTGGCAAATGGATAAACAAAATGTATTTGGCCATAAAAAGCAACAAAGTACTGATACATGCTATGACATGGATGAACCTTGAGAACACGCTACTGAAAGAAGTGAGTCACAAATGACCATATATTATATGTGCCCATTTATATGAAGTATCTAAAATAGGCAAATACACAGAGACAGAGAGTAGATCAGTGGTTGCTAGGAGCTGGGGGTGGGGTGCAGGGTAGGGAAAAATGACCAGTGACTGTTAATAGGAATGGAGTTTTTCTGGGGGGTGAGTAATTAAAATGTTCCAAAAATAGATAATAGTTATTGTTTCACAACTCTGTGAAATACTAAAGCACATTTAAAGGATCAGTTTTATGGTATGTAAATTGTATCTCAAGAAAGCTGGTTTTTAAGGCATTTCCTTTTTTAAAAGTAAATTCACTTAGCTTCCTCACCAAAAAAATAACCTGTAATATATACCTTTTTCCCTTAATATTAGCTAGAAGATTATAGTCTAAGAATTCTATGCAAAAGAATGTGTTACATACAGGTACCTATTTAAAGCAGATAGTTATTAGTTAAGTTTATGCATTTATGGTGTTTAAATCTACTTACTAAGAGTATGTATCGATAAACTTCATTTATAAAGCCAGTTAGTTGTAAGAATCACTCAAAGTCAAGAACTGTGTGTTGAGGGTCATCTATGTGCTACATACTACCTTGGACGTAGGGACGCAGGAGAGAATAAGACCCTAAGGTCATGAGCTTATGGTTCATTTGTTCTTTGCACATCACACCAACCAAGAGAATTTGGTCGTGTTCTACTTTTCTGTAGTTTACATCATAAAAACAAGGGCATTTTCCCCAAATATATCATATTATCATATTAAAACTGCCTTTTCAAACCTTTCTTCCCAGGGGCATACCACCCCCATTCCCAGTTAGACATCCAACTTCTGGGTTCTTGAGGTTTCAGTAAGTTCAGGATTCCTAAGTTTTGCATAAAGTAGTAAAGGGTCCACCAGGCCATATATATATTGCATCTTCTCACTCGAGGACCTGCAGGGAAGGGGGATTCTCAAATTTTTATGAACACAGGAATCCTCCAGGAAGCTTGTTTGCCATGCAGATTCCTGGGTGGTAGCAGCAGAAAGGCAGGTTCAGCAGGTCTGAAAAGGAGCCCAGAAGACAGAGTATTTAACAAGCACCAAGTCTCTCTGATGCAAGAATGCATGAATCACACTTTAAGAAATACCCTCAAATGTTGGAAACCAATGCATCGCCAGGTATTTACTGAGCACCAGCCTTAAACCCACACTGCCTAGGCACTTTGGGCGATCTAGGGCATATAGTCTCTCCTACAAGAAGCACCTACTCAAGTCTGGAAGACTTGAAAGACACCGCATGATGACTGAATGCACATATTAGACATGATTAATAACAAATGAGTGATGAGACCCCTCCCAGCTGTGTGACTTCAGAAGAGCAAAACTGCTCCTTGGGCCCAGGTGGCTGGAGAACTTTATGTAGAAGTGTCACTTGGGTTTAACCTTAAAATGTTACTGTGATTGTAGGGAAGATAATGAAAGAGTCTGGAGCACACAATGAGGGAGATTCTTCTCAGAGCAATCGGCTCTAGTGTGTTTACATGAGGAATAGAAAGAGTGAGGCCAAATTCTAAAAGGTCCCAAATGCCTGGCCAAGGGACTGGGTCTTTTACCCACAGAATGTGGAGACCCACTGAAAACTTTTGAACTGGAGAGTGGCAAGCTGAGATCATTGCTGTAAAGGATTAATCCAATAAGAAGTCACTAGGAGCATTTTTGGGAGGAAATGATGCATAAATAACGGAGCAATAGCATGATAGAAGTACAATCAAGACTGGATTGGAACAAGAGGAGACTGGAGAGAAGAGAACCATTTGGAGGTTCTAGGAATAGTCCCCCACAACAGGCTTCCTCCCAAAAGAATGAGTATGCTATAACAGAATTCCTATTTTACTTGAAAGAGAAAAGTAATACTAATATCCTTTTTCTTTCATATACTTTTGAAGAGAGAGATGCCAACTTGAAAGAGGCAATTAGGGCTGAGATTATGATGGTGGTAATAAGGGACATGAAGATAGAAAAAGGATTTAACCATCTTCGGAGATTAGAAAAAAATGGCTAGGAGTGAAGGGAAAAGGGGTTGAAAATGGCATCTGCCAAGCCCAGCTTGGAGTTCTTATCCTCAGGACCTTGCTCGTGATAGCCAGAATGAGAACCACTGATTGCTTCCCCTGAAATTGGTCCACAAACAGAGGAGAAGCAAACCTTTTCAAATGACCACAATGATTACCATGGAAAACTTGATAAGGTTTTTTCTTCCTAACCAGAGAGAGAGAGAGTTGTCATTGTGTAATAGTTAATAATCATATATCCAAACAATGCCTTCTATTTAAGGAACAATGTCCCTAATAGTGGAGCTTAAAAGAGAAAAATAACAAGTTCAGTTACTGTTTGTTACACAGCTTTTGCCATGTGACAAACCACCCCAAAACAAGACAGCTGAAAGCAGTAAATCATTACGCACAGTTCTGTGGGTAGGTTGGACAATGCACCTGGTCTGAGTCGGCTTGACTGAAGTGGATAAGCAAAAATGGCCTCACTCTCCTGGCTGGCAGCAGGCCCAATATCAGCTGAGGTGATTCTCTCACCCTTAATAGGTTAGCCTGGTCTTCTTCACATACTGGCCTCTGGCTTTCTAAGGACAGCAAGAGAACCAGACTTGATGCAGAAGCATTTCCCAAGCCTCTGCTTGTGTCACATTTGCTGTAGTCCTGTTGGCCTAAAAAGTCACATGGCCAGACAACAGTTTTGAAGGCCCTGCTCAAGAGTATAGGTAAAAGAGAGAGGGCATATGTGTGACCATTTTTACTATCATGGCAATGTATGCGTAATATATCATGCACTCTAAAGGAAGAGACAATTATTGACTTAATTCTGCTTAAAGACTCTGGAAGGGTCAATGTTGAGCTTTTGCTCTACTTGTCTAAATGTGAATATTTGAACTATTGTGAAAGAAATTCATAACTATATATTTGATAATAAAGTTTTTTAAAGGAGGAGAGGGGGTGAGAAAGGTAGGGAGAGAGAGGAAAAAAGAAGGAAGGAAGGAAGGAAGGAAGGAAGGAAGGAAGGAAGGAAGGAAAATATATCTGCCTTAGCATATCTAATTTTATTACTTTTTGTTGACAGAACACTATCAATCTTATAAAGATCCTCAACTTTTTGGTTGTTGTTAGCTGTCTTGTAAAATAGCCTTCTATCTCCTAAACTCTTACATGGTCAGATTTCAGCCTGTGCAGAGGTGCTTGACGATGTATGTCCAGGACCCTCTGCGAGAACAGAAGCCCAAGTTTCCATTCCATGAAGTGGTCAGTACTTGGATTGCTGGCCAGCCTTGGAAAGACTGAAGATGCAGACCAGCAACGCCCCATTCTTAGGACATAATTAATGTGCTGTTAATTTTTTTTCATCAACAAAGGATTACCAAAATACCACATGATTTTCTTCAAAAATGTGACCCACCCTTTCCTGTCTCATTTTTCTTTTCCTGGATCTGAACATGGTTTCCATTGGCCTCATGAAAATAGTTATTTCTGTTCATTTTCCTCGACTTGTCTCAGTTCCGTGATCTCAAGACGTCCAGAAATGCTAAAACAAACTGTTAGTAGACAATTTACAGGACTGCTTCTCTCACTCAGAGCCATTTTCTAAAACACTTCTCCTCCTTGTGAGGCCAGTGGCTTCCTCTGCGTCCCACAGCAAACCTCATAGTGTTATAAAAAGCCAACTAACTAAATAATGCCATAGGAATCTTAATGACTAGGGTCATTTAGCCAACAACATTACACAGTTTTTTCCTCTCAGAATAAGCATTTAAAATTACAAATATCCCATCCAATTCACATTTAATTACCACTGTTCAAACTTAAAGAACTTTCTCATTTTCAATTGTGTAAAATTGGAAATACTGAACTACTGCTAAGGGATAGCCAACAGACTCCTTTTTAAAGAGGGAGCAGGAAAGTAACATAACTGTTGTCTCTTCCTGATAATATTTCTATTATTAACTGGCCATTTCTTCACTAAACTTCCCTAAATTGCCCAGGCCAATTTCTCCACATTTACCACAACCAAGAATGAAGTTAACTTGTGATGGGCCCTGATGTGTGATTTGACCATAGAGATCACAGTTTCCAGCACAAAAGTCCATGTCAAAAGCTAAACTGATGCCAGCTTTCACAATGGCAGAGAGCATTCAAAGTAAGAAAGGTCTTAGGAAATCCAGGACTTAACAGTCTCCATCAGCTCCAATAGACTAGGAACTATTCTGCACCATCAGTTGGGTGAGGAAAGGAAATTGAGGATGGGGGAAGGGACAGCAACTTTGAGGCTTTTGAGTGACCCCAGTCACAACTTGTCCTTCCTCCCATGAAAGGCTAGACTTCAGAGTCAGACACATCTGACCATGCTTTAGAAACATGGCTGTTGGGAAGGCAGGGCTAGGAGCACAGTCTTACTTCGAGAGAGATACTTGCCCTGGCTGGTATGGCTCAGTTGGCTGGACATAGTCCCGCAAACTGAAAGGTCACTGGTTCAATTCCCAGTCAGGACACATGCCTGGGTTTTGGGTTAGTCAGGGCAAGTACCAAAGGCAACCAATCAATGTTTCTCTCTCACATTGATGTTTCTCTCTCTTTTGCCCTCTCTTCCTCCCTCTCTTCTCCTGAGTAAAAATAAATAAATAAACTTTAAAAAGAGAGCGAACCTTACCTATTTATGAGACATCTCCTTGAAATAATGGTGGATTTATGGTAGTGGTTGTCTGAAAATCCATTTGCTTTGCAATCTAGCCCATTGTCTCTCGTGATCATCTTTTCAAAAGAACAAAAAACACACTTTTCTTTTTGTACCTAAAATCACTTCTTGAAATGGAAACTACTCGCCTACCTGTCAAGTAGTTCTTACAAGAATCCTGACTTTTGCATTACCAAAAAACAAATGTTTTATAAATATACATGCATGGTGTGGTCTATACAAGGGTGGGTAAAGTAGGTTAATAATAATAAATAATACAATATAATAATTAATAAATAATAGTACAAGAACAAACTGTTTCACATAGAACTGTGAACCTACTTTTGCTTACCTCGTATATATGGGGTACATGTGTGTATGTGTACGTGTGCATATGCATGTATACTTGATGTAATGACATGGATCTACAGTATGTGCGTATGTATAACATTGCGTTATCAGCACCCATTTGAAGTAGGCTGCGCTCTGTTACCACCGGCAGTTCTGTTTACAAGGAAGGCTGAGAGATTGGAATAAGAACTTGATTTTCACTCAGGTTTCTTTTGGGAAACAAGTCCTCGTGTCAGGGCGAGACTGCCAGCTTCCCGTAGGAGCAGCACCCTTTCGGGTTAGCTAAAACCCGAAGCCCGAAGGACTCCTTACCCTTATCTGTGTGCTGCTTTAGAGCAAGTGGAACTGTTTTTAAGGATGTATATGCCAACTGAAAAAAAATTCTTTTTTTATCCTTATGGTGGAATTCTATTCATGCTTTTTCATTTCCACAATCTGACCTTTTAGTTAGTTTTTTAAATGGCCTTCACTACACATATCCCCACGCCTGCCCAGTCCTCACCCACTTTTACTATGACGAAGTTTTCTGAAGGTTGAGCATTTTCTATCTGACTTACACTTTTTCCCCAGAGCATATTTCTACTTACCGAAATTTCAAATTACCATGGTGACTATCAACAGTCCCTAAAATATTGCTTTTTTCTGTACTTAACCTACGCAGAGTCACCAAAAATGGCCACAGAGATTACGTAAGAATTGCATCCAAGGCTGAGAAAAGAGCCGCTGTCATTAATTTCTTTCCATTTTAGTCCATCTTGGGGGAGATTGAGTGGCAAACCGACGAGGCTAACAAAATTGTCAGGACAGACTCCTCTTGTTATCCCACAGACGGGGGTGGGAGGAGACTGTCCAGTGCTACGTGTGCCCAGTCAGTGGTGGTGGAGAGAGAAGAGGAAGTGCTGAAAAACAGAACAGGAAACAGATGGGAGATGTGATCTCTCAAAACCCCCCAAATTCTGAAAAACCTCAAACCAGCCCAGTTGTTTGAAGATTAGGACAAAAGTGAGATCTGTACACTTACCAAAGACTGGCCAGCCGAAGCGGGCACAGCAAGGAGCCATGTCACATGGACACCAAATCCAAATGGCCACAGGTCAGCGGCACCAAAGGGAAGTGAGAAAGCTAGACCATCACGGAGTTAATCTGGGCCAGGAGGTGGGAAGAAGGCTTCCACTCTTGCAGTGACAGCCTCAACTCTAGTTTCACAGTGACAGCGAAAATCTCTACAGTCATGTGATTCTTGGTTGAGAATACTTCTTTGTCAACTAAGATTAAGCCCAGAGGAGCAGCCAGAGGAAAAGGACTCAGTTTTCCACATCTGCAGCCCTCAGGGCTCATGGGAGGGAAAGCGGGGAGCTGAGTCTGGAATAAATGAGTCGGGGTCATTTTCCATGACACCCATGCAGAAACATCAAAGAATCTAAATGGTTTCATTAAAATTCATCCCAAGGTGCAATTATTTGTCTAAAAATGATTCCTACACTTGCGTTCAGAGCTCTGGGAGAAATTGTCATGGTGATTGTTTTTCAGGGTCGGACCCAATATCCAGGCTTGAATTCTCTTTACATGTTGGGCAAGTGCGGTGGTGGGGGTCAGGACAGGGATTTCTCCCTAACAATGAGAAAGCTGAACCTGCTTCCAGAAGAGATGCTAAAATCTGACAATCCAGCTGACCTCCTCCTAACAAAGCCTGAGAGCAGAGCCATCCAAAAATCCCAGACTCCCCTCCCCCTTCCAGGCAACTGCATTTCACTTGTGACCTTGCACAGCCTGTGGTCAGGAAAGAGCCTTTGAACACATCTCCAGAGCTGCAGCGATTAGGTCTTTGATTACTCAGCTCAGCTGGTCCTCCCTTCTCTGCGTTTCTCTTTTCCCCTCCCCCACCCCACACCCTCCACCTCACCCAATAGCCCAGGCAGTTCTGGTTTTTTTTAAAGCAACCATTTTTTTTCCTCTTTTCATTTTCCTATAGCATCGTAAACCTCAAGATGCGGTTAACACTAATCCTGATTTATTTAGGTTTTATCTGCATTATTAATTCCAATCATGAAAAAAATAAAAGTGCTCCAGGTCCTAGTTTCTATACAAAGTTTGGGTGTTTGTGAAAGGGGCCAGCAATCACTGAAAAACATATTTTCTTTAGATAGCTTTTTAAATCCGAACAACTTTCTTTTCTAGTCTGAAAATATTCCTAGAGATGTGTCCCATCCTTAACAATTTCATTTATTATTATTTTTCCCCCAGTTGATATCCTTTGAAGCTGCTTCTTGCATTAATCTGGACTTAATATGGATTTAAACATTTACAATGGAAAATAATTTGGGTTAAAAAAATAATCTCCCTGATAAAGCTAGAAAACCTCCACAACTGTCACCATCTCTGACGGCCAGGAAGGGGATGAGATTCTTGAATATGCATGTTGAAGAAAAGCAAGAGCAAGACTAACAGGGTGTGTGTTATATTTTATATTTGTCAGCTGCTATGACTGACTGGAGTTGAGTGATATCCAGGGTCTTGACTTGTTGTTTGAATGAATTCATCATCACTCAGAACACATGAACAGTTATTTGGTGCCCAGGATATACTAAAAATATCTTCCATTGGCGAGAGAGGCTTTGTCTCAGAGGTAGCAGCCTACATCCGTCACTCCCAAGGGGGCTTCCCAGCAACTAACAGGTTCCAGCCCCCTTCCCACCCATCCTTTCCATTTTTACTTTCTGCAGCCTATTAATTTATACAATGCTGAGAATAGAAAGTTTACATTTCTTTGGGTAGGCCCCCGGCAAGGCCAGTGTTATCGGGGGAATTCTTCCTGGATTTGACTCAAGGAGCTCAAGGGGATTGAAGTATTTTCATGGGAATTTAAAGGCATTCAGATTAGACCTCCAAGTCTACTTTGTCAGACCTCGGCACTTGAGGCAGACCTGAACATGTTTTGAGTTCTTGAGGACTTGCAGAATGAGGCTAGGTGAATCCAAGAAGTGCCCCCTTTCCAGGATTGGAAAATAATGTGGTGCCGTCACTCTTGATGCCTCTGCCCATGGCAGACATCACTAATCAACCACAACATCCTCTCACCCTGAGCCAGGAGGCAGCTTTTGTATCATTCTCAACACAGGCTCTAAGCCACCTGTAGTGGATTCAACTGGGGACCTACATGGAAAGGTGTTTGCCAGTCCTGCTGGGCTCTGCACTGCCCCAGGAGACCCTTGGATAATCTGGGTTTTAGCACTGCGCTTCAGCCTGTCTCATACACTGCTCCTGGCTCCTCTTCTGGTTCTTGATAGTGTGGGGTCATGGTGTTGAGAACAATTCCAGAAAGTCTATAAAGACCAAGGGCACGGCCCTTTGACTGCTGTAGCTCCCCAAATTACCAGTACGAACTAAGCACATAGGAAACCTTTGCTCAGAAGGAGCCACCCCATTCCTCTCCCTGAGCCCCAGAAAATCTGTCTCCAGCAGTTTCCTCCTGTCATCCCTCAGTCACTTGGACCAGGATGTAGTGTGGCAAGGATACTTTTCCAATGACTTTACCTCTCAGAACCAATTAAGTCAGACTCAGAGCCTTCTCACAGTTCTTTCTTCCAAGCCTTCCTCTGACGTGCCTCTGACCATTCCACCAGGCTCATTCCTCTTCACACTCCTGTTACGTGGGCCCCTTGCCATGGGATGTTTCTTCCCCCTCCAGGAAGCCTTTCAGATGGCCACATACCCTCCTTTGCCCTCCAGGACACCTGCTGCAATGAACTGACCGTCACCTTCACTCTCTGTCCTTTTCCACTTTTGGTCTTATTGTGCATTTTATTTTAATAACACATATCTCTTTCCAAAGTAATGTAAATTAATTGTATAAATTTTAGAAATGACAGATATACAAAAAAGTAAAAAATTTAAATGATTTGTAATCCATTAGAATATGCATATTCATGTCTATGCTTCTAACACTTCTTATGAAATATTTCTGGGTTGCGATTTTTATTTATTTTTAGAGAGAGGAGAAAAAGAGGGAGAGAAATCTCAATGTGAGAAACATCAATCAGTTGCCTCTCATACGCTCCCCCACTGGGACCAAACCTGCAACCCACACATGTTCCCTGACCAGGGATCGAACCACTGACCTTTTGCTTTGTGGGATGACACCAACCAACTAAGCCACACCAGTCATGGCTTCGGGTTTTAATTTTTTTTAATATACATACGCTTTAAGTGGGTGGATTTTATAATTTCTCATATACAAATTATACCTCAAAAAGCTGATCATATATGTATATATTATACATAGAGAAGAGTGTATTAGTATGTGCATCTGAACTTTATATGCATTTGAAACAGAAATGTGGGTTTCAACTATGGTACATTTACACAATGGAATTCTATGCAGCAGAAAAAAAGAGAAGGAGCTCCTACCCTTTGCAACAGCTTGGATGGAGCTGGAAAGCATTAGCTAAGCGAAATAAGCTAGACAGTGAAAGACAAATACCATATGATCTCACCTTTAACAGGAACCTAAACAACAAAACAAAGAAACAAGCAAAATATAACCAAAGACACTGAAATAGAGGACAGGCTGACAGTGACCAGGGAGGAGAGAAGAGGGAATTTCAGGGGAGAATGAGAAGAGTTTACAGGAACAAATTTAAAGGACACATGGACAAAAACTAGGGGGAGGGTGGTAATGGGAGGGAAGTGGGGAGGGTTGGGTGGGTGGGCTGGAATGGGAGTAAAAGGGAGAAAATTGTACTTGAACAATGATTAAAATAAAAAAAAAATTTTAAAAGAAATGTGGGTTTCATATGTTATGTACTCTATTGAAAAGTCTGTAAACTTTGTTGTCTATAAACTTTTAGACCTTAAAACATATAGTTGAACAATCTTAGAGCATTTACCTACATTTCCTCTATTTCAAGGATATCTTAATATGTTTGCCCATTCTTTTTTAAATTTCTTAACAGCATTATTGAGATAGAATTTACATACCAAACAATTCACCCAAAATGTACAACTGAATGGTTTGGGGCATAGTCACATGCTTGTGCAGCCACCATCACATTCAGTTTTGAAAACATTTTCATCACCCCCAAAAGCACCTCCATATCCACTGGCACCACTCCCACTCCTGTTTCCTTCCAAACCTCTTCAGCCCTGCCCACCCACTGATCTACTAATACGTCCTGTCTCCAGGAACTTTCGTGTTGTGAACATTCCACAAAAATGGAATCATTCAGAGCGTGGTCTTTTGCACCTGGCTTCTTTCACTTCATATGTTTTCAAGATTCATCCATAGGCTTTAGCATTATTTCATTCCTTTTTTTTTTTTTTGCTGAATAGTATTCCATTCTATTCCATTCTATTGTGTTTGCTCATTCTTTCTAAAAGTTTCTGTTTTGCTTTTGTTGTGTGATATTGATGACAGTACTTCTGTTTTGTGATGTTGATGTCTGTACTTTACTGAATTGAGTGGCTCGCACACTCCCATCTGTGCATCCTTTAATTATTCCAGTGTTTACTTTTCGTAGGATTCTACTGAACTTATGGAGAAATTCAGTCCAGTTCAGTTCAACAGACACATATTGAGCATTGAAATGTGCAAGAGTCTTTGCTAGGAAATGCTGGGGATACAAGATGGATGGATACAGCCTCTCTGTTTACATCAGGTTATAAGAGCAAATCATGCCCATGAGTCACCAGATACCTGTAGCTTTTAAGTAATCTTTATTTCACATAATTTGAATGTAATGTGTACATGTTTTTCAAGTTTATTTCATATGTTTATACCATGCTACTCTGTAAGGCACCCAACAAAAACAGAAACTGTGGGTTCTGTTTCTTTTCTGGTATAATGATATTAACAGTAATTACAGCAGTCACCATATACTGTGTGTTTATTTTACTTGATCTGAAAAACAATCCTGTGAGGCAGCTACTGTTCTTTTCACTGGCCGTTGAGGAAACTGAGGCTCAGGATAAGAAAGCAACTTGCTGAAGTTCTCACGAGTCTGGTAAGAGTTGCTCACTGGACCACACTGGCCCCCGCCTGCATGGAGGACATTCTTAGCAGCAGGTGGATAATATTGTCCACCTGCCACTCTGGTGGGCAGCACTGCATCTTGTTCTGGGCAACCTGAACTAGTTCCCGGGGGTAA